TGGGTAGATAGAGTGGTAGGGATAGGAGTAATAGATATGTGTAATGCGGACGTGGGCGAGGCGGAGGCGACGGAGGAGCATGCGCAGAACGGATACGCACTCAGAGACGGAGCCGGACGGAGACGAGATGGAAACTGGTAACGATACGTGGTTGGGGTGCCGTATCTCCTCGAGAACTACATACAGGTTGCCCTTTTACACTCTACCACTTGTCCATATCGTCCAATCCCGTCGCGTGCCTAGTGTTGCATATGCCGAGAGTAAGCTCGCGCCGATGCGCAAGCACCGCGTAGTGTGTCGAGCACCGGTAGGCGGAGCGGAGAGCCGGTCGAAAAGACTCGAAAGGTCGAGCAGGAGGTGGTGGTGGTGATCGACCACTCGAGGCTGTTATGATCGAGCTCGCACCGCGTTTGATGTTGACCAAAACGCGCGCCGAAGGCGCCGGGGTCGTTGTATCACGAGGGGCCTCAGGCGCATGTGACGTCGTTGGATTGAGTGATGCGTGCCGCGCGCGCTGCGAGCGCATGGACGGTCATCGAGGGGGTGATGGTGGCGGTGGTTGAAAGCGGCGACAGCGGTGGCGACGTAACGGGTGGTTTGGGGCATAGATAGTGTGGGCAACGAGGCGACAGGTCCAACGAGATACGAGATAAAAACCTTGGAAGCCCAATGACAGAACAACGCTCGTGTCCGGCCACTGCAGCTTCCTAAGGTTCTGGGCCCCTTTGACTCAGTGTGCTCACACTGGTTGTCAGGACGGCCCAGTCTCGGCCTAGTGGCTTGGTGGTGGGGAGAGGAAAGCGACGGCCGCACGATAACGAAGCGGCATACTTGTTTGTGGCAGTGCAGACGTCGGTGGGCGTGTTCGCGTTGGGCGCGCTACAATGGTGTAACAGACCTCTTGTGTTGAGAGAGCTGCCACGGATGTTTGTATGTTGGTGTCCTAACACTGGCGAGTTCCGAGCCGGCGGAATGAGTTGACACCCATGTCGAGCGGGTGTGCTGGCAAGATTTGGAGGCGAAGCCTCTGGGTCAACGACTCTTCGACTACCTATGTGGCTCTTTGCACCTCTTTTCCAGGCCTGTCGTCTCCGCGGACAGGTCGCGAATGGTGCGGCAAGCACGGGGTGGTAGTCAAAGGTAAGTCAAGTAGTCTGCTGATTATGGTACACATGCATCGTACTGTATGTGCTCCTACTATATCCAGCAACTGGTGCTGGGGTGGGGGAGTATCAATCATGGATGCCCAAGGTGTGTTGCAGACGGGACACTCCGTTGATCCACGTTAAATACTCATGTAGTTTTCAGCTCCGACAACTCCTCGTGTTCCACTAGTATATATCCTAGCGTAGTTGTACTGTATCTGTCAGTTTGAATATCAACTAAGACTCACTCTATGCCCAAACACGGACTAAGAGTGTGAGGCGACTCAAGTCCATAGTTTGAGTCGGGTCCATCCACTTTCTGGGAGTACTGTGCCATGTGGATAGCATAAATAGAATAATACAAGGACAGAGTGTGATGATGACAGCATCGTAGGGTGGGCAGATCATGATTGTGACATAGTGGGGCCGGCACAGAGGTACTATGGCCAGGACAGAGTGTGAGTGTGACAGCAAGGTTAGGTGGACAATCTGGCAGTACCGTGTGGATAGCACAAGTAGAATATTGCCAGGACAGAGTGAAATGGTGACAGCAGGGTATGTGATTGTGACTGACTATGGTTGGCACACATGTGTTATGCCCAGGACAAAATGTAAGGAGGACAGCATGGCTAGGCGGACAATCTGGGAGTACCATGTGGTGTGGATAGCACAAATAGAATATTGCCAGGACAACGTAAAATGATGACAGCAGGGTACGGTGGACACTTTGCAATTGTGACTGACTATGGCTGGCACACATGTGTCATGACCAGGACAGAATGGCTGGCACACATGTGTCATGACCAGGACAGAATGGAAGGAGGACAGCATGGCTACACAGACAATCAGGGAGTACTGTGCCGTGTGGATAGCATAAATAGAATACTGTATGATACTGTCTCTTCGGCAGGACCGTCTCTTCAGCAGGTCACACACACATCACACGTCGGAGCAGACACACCCATCAAATATTTCGTACTCCACTTGCACTGGCCAAATCACTGTACAAGCTAGTAGCACATGATACAAACTGCATGCAATGATAACGCCAGAGTATGCTGTAGTGGAAACCTTACGTGCTTATGGTTAATAGTTTATGATGGTTTTTGGTGGTATGAGCAGCGGCACTGTCGCTGCGAGCATATCCTGGGTTGGCGTCGAGGCATTTTGCATGCTGTCCGTCTGGTTCCCCTCTCTCCGTCCCTCAAAATCCTACTCTGTAGTTCAGAAACAGTCTATGCCACAAATAATAATGGTACCGCCGCCAAAGTGGGTCAAGACATGCTTACAAGCCAGTTAT